CTCTCGGAGAATGTATCGCTGGGTACTCGCTTGTACGACGGGAATCAATTGGGGTGGCTGGAATAACGTCGTCATGCCCGACCTCGTCCGCCTGGAATAACGTAGTCAGGAATAGCCTCGCCTTTATGTATTACCCGAGATGTTGGGACTAGAAGAATTTTTTGCTGTACGAGATTGGTCTAGTTTTGAAGTGTGGAAAGATTTTTTAACGAGTTTGTTCCGGGATAGGCTTGAGGACGACAGTAATCCAGTGTTGGAATGACGACGTTATTCCACCATCCCAATCAATTGTGGACGCGGATGAAATGACGAGGTACAGTACGCTTGTCTATCGAGGGAAACACTGACTCGTTTCTCTCGCCGGAAAAGGTCAAAACGGAACAGACTAAACAGATCAACAACTAAAGTCACCAAGACGTTCGTGATGAAAACTGGTTTTCACATGCAGTGCCAGATAGCAATTGTTCCAAGTTACTGATCTTGAGCTATACTCACTTTCGTTCAGGTGAATTTTTCTTCCGTGATATGAATATGCAATTTATTGGGAAACTTGCACCCGAGATTTCCATCTCTTTGGGACACAAGCCTGTGGTGCAACAGTGACTTCAGTAAGCTATAGTTAATCACTTCAAGAAGGAACTTAAGCTTGCCACAAGTGCAGCACCCAGAAGATGGCGTGCGATGGGATCATCATGGATGATTTTGGTGCTTGCGAGTAAAGGGTGGAAGAAAAAGTTGCATGGCGCCATCGGGGGAGGAACTAATGAGGACCCGACCGGGACGGAAGAAAACTGAGACGTGGCGGGTCTCGTTTTCGCCATCTTTTATCCCGAGTTTGATGTAACGGCTACTTTCACGGGAAATACCCGTCATGGAGGGAGAGCACGAGAAGCGGGATCTCTGGATGGTTTCGTATCCCTTGCTTCCCGCCTTTCTTCACTTGTGACACGCATTGTGCATGCCTGGTTTATTCCGTGTGTGAGGGCGGCGAAAATGGCGGGAGGGAAACCCGGAAAACCCCAAATCCGTATCGTGTCGCTGTCCCCTGGGTGTATTCATTTATTTATTAATTTTTTTGTGGCGAATTTGATCGCAGCACTGTGTTTGTTGCGGCCTTTTGATGAACATTTCGTATTCGTTTACTCGATATGATTGCGTCTTGGATTTGGTCGTGTTGAACGATTTTGGAGGAAAGTTTCTGCTCTGAATACAGCGAGATGAGAAGAGTGTAGCTGAGCGCGGTTGGAATTCGAAGTGAAGTACTGTACTGTACCGTGAAGTGGGGCCCCGAGATGCGGACGTGATTGGTGCTTAGGCCTTGTCCCTATGTCGGAGAGTCCGTATGTTAGATCAGGTTTTCCCGTAGGCTCTCATCGGAACACGTTCAGTTGGTTCTCCTGTTTTTCAAAAATTCGGAAAAATGTCCCCGAAAAAGTTGATAAATTTGTTTTCTCAACGTCAACGTGCAGAAAATAACTGTGCGGAAGAAAACCGCGCGGAATCTGATTTTTTGGCATCAGAAAGAGCTCAAACAGCAAAGAACGAAACAAGTCCAACAGTGCACAGATGACGGAAAAATAATCTGATGAAAAGAAGAGAAAATTAGCCTTTTTTAAATATTGAATTGGAGTAATTTTGTAGTGAAATGTGTTTTCGTGAACATGAATCGCGCAGTTTGTTCAGAGATATCAAAATGTGTAAGAGTAATTTTTAAATATTTTTCTAGAAATTTATTGTGAGCTGTCGTCATCCTGAGACACTGTCCGTATGTACGGCAGATATTCTAGTTTCAAGTGTCCAAGTCATTTGTCCGTATGAAGGATTCCCACTGCATAGTACCTTAAATCCTCGTATATCGAAACACTCGCGCATAGTTTTACATGAAACATTTTTCAACCCCCAAAAACTTTCAAATGTTAGCAAATTTTTATCTTTAGCTTCATAATGAAACAAATCATGGAAAATTCGAAAAGGCAAGACAAGCTGTGGAATCCATGAAATTTAGAAATCAAATCGCACAAACTTGCTAAACTTACTTGAGTTTGATGGTAACTAATTTCAAAGTCTCAATTGTACAGAACTGTATTATGAAAATTCAAAAGAAGAGCATTTTATAGGTTTTTCATGGTGGTCTCGTGATTTTTTTGCACAAATTAAATAATTTTCCGTGTATCCCGTAAGTGAAAATGCCTTTCATGTTACGAAAATTCCGCATGCGGGAACGGATCAGTGTCATTAATGGGGACCAATTGTTCAGTATATGTGTTCAGCTGAACTTTTTTTAAATTTAGCATGAAATAATATTGTCATTTGATGGAATTCAAGTTTCGGAAACGTATTTCCGGGGAGGAGTCTGGTGAAGCATATCCTAAGTGCGCCGTAATTGCGAAAAGGGTTTTCGCGGAAACCAGACTCTTGATTTCGGTGATTTTTGTGCCAGGAGGTGATGAGGCGGACGAGAATCCTCTTTGGGATCAATGAACTGTGTGTGTTCTTGTTGATCCCTGGTCTGTTTTCACGTCTCTTCCTGGCAGCGTTCTTTTTTTTTATTTTCCCCGGCGCTATTTCATTTCCCCGCTTATTTTAAGATTTTTTCAGTTAGCCGTGAACGACGTGTTCCTATCGTGCTTGACTTTTGTTCCGAATTTTTCCCGACCGCGGTTGACTCCCATGTTGTTCAGACTGAGTTAAAGAGTGCCAGAAAGCTTTCTAACGCGCTTCTCGGGATAATTCTTCCTGTCGTCCGACGGAAGGGTAGATTTCCTGGGTACAGTACCTTGTTTTTTTATTTTTTATTTTGCAATGCGACGAAGCGTCTCTTCGCGAAATGAAGCAAAGATCTCCCGGTTTTCCGCCAGCAGCACTTCGTTGAAATATGATTTATTTGCACTCTGCTGTACAGTCAAACCTCGATTTAGTGCCATCATTTGTCTTGATACATTTTGTGGCACTAAATTGAGGGTATTATGTTAGAGGAAGGTTTCTGCTGTAAGCGAAATAAACCTGGGTTACGGGAATGTTGGGCCGGTGAGTCTGTTTTATAAGAGAGAAGGGCACAAAAACCTTTAGCTCAAATGTATTTTTAGTGTACTGTATTTCAATATGCAGGTGGCCTCTCCATAAAAGGATCCTGTTTACAACGATTTTCTCTGTTTAACAATTTTTTTGTCTCATGCAGTTCTTCCTCATGTGAAAAAGGTTCTCTGCAACAAATTTTTCCTGTTCCCCTGAATTTTGTTCTAGTATTAAATACGACAGAATGTGTTGGATTTGTGTGCTATGCATATTGCCTCTATTAAAAGAGAAAAGCTGTTTCTTGAATTATTGTTTGAGTTTGAGTTTTTGTCTCGTGCCATCATACAGGAATCACTACTGCTTTTAGGATAACTCCCGCTTCATTTATAAAATTTTCAATGCAGGCAGGTGTCGTGCAAATGCAGAAATGCTTTTAAAACGTGTGAATTCAGAAATGCAAGGTTAGAATTACTCCGAGTTTTTATGTGATTCTCAGTTATAACGTAATCATATTCCTTGGAGAATGCCTTAATTTCTTTTGATTGTGGTCTTTTTTGTTAAATCCAGGATACGGCATTTTTTGTGGCACTAAATCCAGGATTGACTGCAATTGATCTTGGAAGTTTTTGCCTGGATTATTTGCTGGAGCTGAGTTAATTTTCCAGTTTCAGCATCCAAAGTTTTTACCAGCAAGGGACGCTGTGAAATACTGTACGGTACTGTATACTATATATATTTATTTTGACGGGAAATAAGGTCGGTACGTTTTCGACATTGAATTTTCTCCCCGGATGGAACGGCAAAAATGAAAAAAAGGGAAAGATTACCGGCCATGCTGATGCGTTTTCCGAAGTCGGAGGGAAATTTTCCTGGGTAACTTGGGTGGGTTTAACAGGTTCAGTGCAAAAATTCCAGGAGAAGGATCCGTTGGAAAGCAGCCTGCGCGTGTCTTCGGCTTATCGGGAATTGCGAATGTGCCCATGTGAAGGTGATTGATGCGCGGAATTTTCCGGAGGGAAGTGGCGGATTCCTACGCGGTTGCCAGTATACTTTATATATATATATATTTATTTATATATAGTACAGTGAGACCCGCACATGCAGACACGTCAACATGAGGACAATTCGACATAGGGACATTTATTTTTCAATGAAAAAGGCATGACATACAGACAATAACTCGATATGAGGACATTGCATTATAAAATTGCCATTAAATTTCACAAAAATTCACTTTTATTTGGCTTGATCGCAAGAAATAAGATACTGTATTTCCAACCAGAAGATTTATGCAAGAAAAATTATTTGTCATTTATCCCATCATTTTCCCACCCGTTCAGCTGATTAAAAAAATTACCTATTGCATGGAGGGACTTCCTTCTCTCTTCATGACTTGAATGTTATTTTTGTAGATGCCAACATTTCAATGTACAGTACAGATGTACCAAATCCAATGCTCCAAATGTTCGTATTGAGTTGAAAATATATTCACTGAATCAAATTCAAGTGGCGAACGATTTTTTTCATGGCATTCTGAAGAATATTTCTTCCATAAAACACCAAATTGAAAATTTTATAATGGAAGTCTATAGGAAAAAAAGACTTGATTTGGGGACAATTCAACTTAGGGACACTCTTGATGCACCAATTACGTCTGCATCTCCCGGTCTCACTTTATATATACGATATATATGTATATATATCTATATATATACAGTATATATATATGTATATATATTGCTGGCATTCTGGTGTATATATACACTATATTTTTTTTTTTTTGCTGGCATTCTGGTGCTGATTCAGAATTTCGTTGGCGCTTCTGGACGCATCGGAATCCATACCTGAGTCCCATCCCTGAGCTCATTTCGTGTTCGACAGACGTGTTGCCGGGTAACACAATGTGGGGAACCTGTTTTCGCGCCGGGGCTCGGGATTTTGTCACGAGACTTGCCTCGTTCAGCGGCCGAGAGAATTCCTAACGAATGGGAAACGAGGATGAGCGACCCCATGACTTGGCTCGGGGTTCGAGAAATTCCCGACGACGGGCTCGGTCCTCGCGTGATCACAAGGTGCTGATTATGCCAGTTCTCCTCGCGAAATGCTCTTCATGGGTAAACAGGCGATTGAAAGCCATTTCCCCGTGCCAGTTCCCGGGATCCCTGGAAACCTCCCAATGTGCTGCACGGCAACCGGCGTCCAGGTGGAAACGTTCGGCTGCCTTTCAACCGCGGGGGTTTTTTTCGAAGTATGCGGATGAATTGCTGTCCCGTCTGGGAACATGGGCTTGCTAATCTTTGCGTGTGTTTTGCCTGCTTTCCTGCCTAATGGTTCCGCGGAGGGTTTTTTTTTTTGACAAGTTCCATCTTGATGAACGTCGGGGGGGTGGGCGAGAAGTTATTGATGCCGCGAGAACTTTTGAATAATCGCTTCCGCCGTCGTGTTAGTGTTTGTCATCCTGCTTTTCCCCGCTCATCGACATGTTCTGGATCAGTGTTCCTCAAACTTTTTGGTTCCACCAACTTGCAAATTTCCACGAAATTGTTTGCGGACGAGCGGACATTTTTAAATGCGTGTCATAAAGCCCTCTGACCGAAACTCTCATTGCCTGAAATCAAGTTGGGGACCAATGAAGCAGCTATGGGGAAATGCCTTCTAAAAATTAAGAAGCTGGGCTTCAACAAAGGTTTCTCAGAACAAATGCAGTACTCGTAATTATTTATTTTAGCTGATGAAAATTTGTCTGAAGTTTTACGAGGAGAAAAGCCAACTTTTCGATTTCATCAGATAATTTCAGCTACGATTGTCCGCGAAATTTCAGACAAAGATAACAGACAGGATTTCTACTTGGAATAAAATGTATTGTGCTGAAGAAAATTTTGCGCAAACTGGCAACTTTTTTTTTTTGGACCTGCGCAAGTCTGCAAACCACCGGTTCTAGATCTAGATACAGTCAGACCCTGAGATGTGGACATAATTGATGCATCAGGAGTGTCCCTAAGTCAAGTCTCATTTTCCCTTAGACCTACATTATAGAATTTTTAATTGGTGTTTTATGTACAAAATACTCACCATAATTCCATGAAAATGAAAACTGTCTTTGGTGAGAGAAATGCCCAAGAACTTTTCTTACATGCATTTTAGGGTTGGAGATATCTGTTTCTTGTAATTTGGCCTGAAATGTATTTGCAATTTTATAACAAAATGTCCCTATGTCAAGTCAGTGTCCTCAGGTTGGGCCATTTTTTATCAATTTTGTATGATAAAATAAGTGTCCTCATGTTGAATTGTCCGCAGGTTGAGGTGTTGTTAGCCTTTGGGGGTCTCACTGTATATATACAGTGTACCCAGTGAAACTGCAGAACCCCTCCAGAATATTTTTCTAATCCCATTGTTGAGGGAACTGCGCTGCGCTGTGTCTATTTAATTTCAGTTTAATGAATTTAGTGTAAAAACTCAAGTTAACCAGAGAAAAATGGGAAGCTTTGAAGAGTTATCCTCCTCAAGAAATGTCATGCTTTCATGGCACTGCAGTATCTTTGACTTCCAATTTTCATGTCAATCCCAGGCTTCAAAGAAAGAAAATGTACAGGAAGTGGTAATTGGTGATATTCTGGGCCTTGAATGGCTCCTCAAATGTGTTGATGGGATGCTGAACTTGGATGCAAGGTTTCATTTGCCCAATTAGTATTTCACTCCATTTCAAAAAACATCCTAACATTTTTTTATTGCTGTCTCTTTTTGTTTTCAATAAAATTATAGTCAAAAGACCTCCAGAAATATCAAGTTTTGGAGGTTTGAGCGGGAAAGCCTTGGGTTAGGAAGTTTTTTGATGCAGTTGTTGTAAAGGAATTCAGTCAGGGACTTGCAAAAAAAGTTGACAGTGGATGATATTTGAGTTTTTAAGGTGAATGGATGAACCAAAAGCTTCATTTTCCACTTTTCTGTGTTCACAAAGTTCAATCAACATTCCCACACCCAAACCCCCTCCCTATCCAACCCAAATCCATTCAAAGGCATTCAATCACTTCAGAATGGGAAACACAGAGAAAAGCTGCATATGAAAATACATCACACTGTACAACTGATGTGTATGTGTACACCCCCTTCCTTCCCTGACATTGAAAACAAAATATCAGTAACAAGAATTGCAGCATAAGCCAGAATTATAGCAATTGCAACAGTTGCAGAACCAAATTTAAAGCCCGAGGTCTTCAGCCTGTTCCCAAATAAGGTTTAGTTGAATTAATAATTTAGAAAGAATCTTTGATGAAAACGCATATAAGGCCAATAGTTTATCTTGATCCTCCATGATTTCAAAAAGGGTCTCTTCATTTAATTCCAATACTTGTAAATTTTTCTTAAGCTCATTTCTATCAGTATGGAATGCTTGAAGGTTCAACTGAATGTCTTTCAATCTTCACCTGTTAATCCAATGGGTATTTCCAGCCTTGTCATAAGCTGATTGTTTTATGTGAAGCTTGATATTTTTCTTGAACCTGGTTGAAGATCTATAAGTACCATATTTACTTGAGTACCACAAGCACTTTTTTCCAGAAACTGAGTCAGAAAAATGGGGTGGGTGCCATATTTGGTGATAATTTTTCTGGGAAAAATTTTCAAAAAACAGTAGAGGTCATGTGGGAGAGCTTGAAATGGAAATACTGTATTAAGAGGAAATGTGTGGCACCGAGTTTCCTTGTTAGCAGGAAATATTGGTTACACCTCATAACAATTTCAAGAAGATAACAACCATATACAGTATAAAAATAAATTGTTCATCCAAAAATCATACCTGTTCTAGATGCAGAATGGTGGAAATATTACTCTGATGGAGGATACTGTCATTAAATGAAAGCACACTTCAACTTCTACAGTAGACAATAAAAAGCAGTAAAGACCAAACTATTTATGTTTATGTTTATGGATCTATACACACTTGGAGCATAGAGATTTCACAATATGTTTTGCAGCACAAATACAAAACAAAGATTATGTGTGTTGGGCTGAGAGTAATAAAGAAAGCATATAAATTACAGTACACAACTTATGCTTGTTTTTTCCATTTTTAGTTATACTTCCTATTATTATTTGTGGAAAATTATATTTCCAGTCATCAAAAACTGGGGTGCGAGTCTTACACTGGGATAGATTTTTGGCCAATTTTTGCATCAAAAAATGGGGGTGCGCGCCTTACTTGAGGGTGCCTGGTTCTCCAGTAAATAGGTAGTCTACTCCAGATCTCTTGTGAGCAGGAGACCCTTATCCCCAACACCACTGACTGATGCTTCCAAGAGCACTTTTTCTGGTTCTCATCCATGGAATGAGATCATAACAACTCAAGTGTCCTGCCTTTTTCGAACTGTACTGCGTAAAATTGAAATTTATCATTCTGCTCTGAAGGGCTATTTTCGCTCCTTGGGATTGATTTTCTGACTCATTTTGGGGCAGTAGGATGCCTTTGAATCCACGTTGTCTTCCATGCCCGCGATGCCAGAGAAAAACGGGTTATGTGAACCTCGGTTCAAGGTTCATGCATTCACGGGGAAGGCGAGAAGAGATGAGTTTCCCCAGTGTAATGACTCCCGACATTCCCGAGTCTGTCGCCGAGTCACTCTGCGACCCCGTCCCGGTGCCCGGCTGTGCTAAATCTATTTCTCTGCTTTTTGCAGGATCGAGGCGCCGTCTGGCAAGAAGGTCAAGAACTGGCTAATGAACGAAACAACCTTGACCGCTGCCGTGTCTCCGGAGCGCTTGAGCCGGGACACGATCGAACCCATGCCTCGGTTCGTCGTCCCGGCCTTATCCCCGGGAAAGAAGGCGCCAGTGAAGATGGCGTCGAAGCCGGCGAAATCGCGATCCAGGCCCGTGCCGGCGAAGCTGAGGAACGGGATGAAGAAACCGTTTTCGAAGAACGTCATCCTGGGTCAAACTTACCCATTCTCGGGCACGGACATTGACTGGAGACTGAAGGCTCGTCTTTCGGCGGAGCTTCGTGGCACCGGGAATTTCATCACGCCCAAGCAGGTTATGCCTGCTAGAAAAGGTGATTGACTGATTGATTGATTGATTAATCATCAGCTGCGATGGCGAGTCGGGAAGCTTCGACATTATCGTCTTGTCACGTGTGCTTCGTGAAATTGAGAAAGGTTATCGTGAAAATGAATCCTCGAGAAAGAGCTGACTCCGTGAGAAAATCCCGTAGGCCCAAAAAACTCGCGGGGTACGCAAAATCTCGCTACGTGAATTTACGCATCAGAAAAAGGCCTCCTTTGGCAACTAAAATAGGCGATGGTGTGTAGACAAATTCTGAATTGTTGAATGAGTACTGAGCAAATGAGAATCCACGTACAGTACGAAAATCCCATGGAAACAAAAATCTTGTAGATTACCAAATTATGAAATTTTATCCTACGGGTTTCCTTTGAACCTTTTCGAAAGTTTAGGATTTCCTTTCTCCATAGAAAATGTAGAGCTTTAATCTCTGCATTGGTTCTGAATATAGACTGTGTAATTCACTACAGAATTTTGTGCTTCGTGGAATTTTGGTACACTAAGATTTTCTGGCATATGGAATTTTATCTTGCATCTCTGCTGAGTATGGGTTTTTGAAGGGATTTCCCAGTTGATGACGATTTGAGTCGCGTTCTCGTTGATTTCGGTCGAGTTTTTTTTACAGTATTTCGTCATTTTAAGGATTTTCATGTGTGTTGGGCATTGTTCCCTATCCCGTGGTCCGCGGACAATTTTCTGCTGCATAGGAAATTTGTCAGAAGTAGCAGTGAAGTCTGTTCTCTTCGTCTGAAATCTTGGAAAGACATGCAGTTCAAATTAACTAATACATTGTTCTTCAACCTTTTTGGGCCTGTGGGTTGGCAATTTTCCATGAAATTTTTTGCAGACCAGCAAATTTTCACAAAATTTTCTGCTGACTGGCAAAGTTTCATGCATTTGTCTGGAAGACTTCATGGCGGGTATATTTAAATATGTTTTACTTTTTGCAAAGTCAAGAACCAATGAAGTAGCTACAGTGACATGTCTTCAAAAAATTGGAAAGGTGTGCAGGAAGAAAGGTTAACAAAATGAAAAATTTTTATCATTTATTTTAGGAGGTGAGAATTGTGTTCCAAGTGCTATTAGGAGAAAAGCCAGCATATAACCTTCATGAGATAATTTCAACTGCCATTGTCTTCCCAAAATTTCAGATAAAGATATTGTAACATCCTTTATGGCCACTTGTGATTTAATATGCAGTTTATGCTGGAGAAAATTTCCCATGCACTGGCAGAAAACTTCTGCGAACCTGCAGAGGTTCACGGACCATGGGTTGGAAAACACTGATTTAAGGAAAAATTAAAGTTGGCTTTTCTCGTAATAATGCTTGAGACAAATTTTCACCTGCTGAAATAAATTTTTTCAATTTTTTATTCTGAGAGAACTCTCTTCAAGCCTACCTTTCTAATTTTTTGAAGACATTCTGCTCTTTAGCTGCTTTATTGGTTCTTAATTTTTGCAAAAAACGGAGAAACTTTTTAAATGCCTGCGATAAAGTCTTCTGCGCAAAACTTTTTTGAGAAACTTTAGCCGGTCTGGGGAACACTGTGTTAAGGGCTTCAGGCATCGCAGATGGTGTTTGTTGGGTACTTTCCTGTTATCTCAGTACCCATTTTTCTTTGTCTCGTGAATTCAGTATCAGGTTAGGTTAGGTCAGGTTATGTTAACTGAAAGATATCTGTAACTAACATAACCTGACCTAAGCACCTCCCAAAATCAGTTTCTGCTTCATTTGGGTTTCTGCTGAAACTGATTTTGGGAGGCGGTTAGGTGACGAATATCTTTCAATTAACATAACCTGACCTAACCTAATTTCACCTAACTGCCTCCCAAAATCAGTTTCAGCAGAATGCGGAAAAATGAAATGCACAGTTTCTGGTACGTGCCAGGAAAGTAGGTACTGAGATAACAGGAAAGTACCGTCTGGGGGTCCCTGGAGTGCCTACTCTGAGACACTGTTTCCTTTTTTCTTTCAGAGGTGCCCAAAGAGAACGCGACGCAGAAGCCCGTCGTTCAATTGGCTCGCGTGGAGCAGAAAGGGCCAATTCACCAGGTTCAGCACGTTCTCCGGAGCCCAGTAGCGCAGATCGTAAAGGTCATGCCCGCGAAGCAGCTTCCCGCAGCGAAGGACGTGAAAACCGGCTCCCCGGTGTATTTCCGCGCCCTCGCCCCGAAAGCTATTCCCGCGAAGCGAGCAGCGGATCTGAAAGCGGGAGATCTGGTGGCTGCTGTTGGGAAGAAGCTCAAGCTGCCAGCAGCGAGTGCACCACCACCACATCCACCACCACCACCACCACTCGTCAGCGCTGCCATCCAGACCCCGGCGTCGCTGGGCAAGCCCGTGAAAACTTCTGGAGAGTTCCTGTGCGCCCTGAGTGTCAATGAAGCGAGGAAGACAAATGTTAGCAGACCCGCGGGAGTTATCTCGATGGATCAATTGACAACAGTAAATGGGCGTCGCGCTTTGGGTGATGGGACGGTGACAGGTGGTCTCCTGCTCGTTAATGTGCTTCTTTCGGGGAACTCTGCGGAATGCGCTTCCGCCACTTCGGTTAGACTCCAGCGGTATTCTTGCGTGCATTTTTATCGTTTGCTCTACGTACGAGAGGGTTGTCCCTGTTGGGCGCGGCCTGTATAATACAGTACTGTATTTCTAGAGTTGGTGTGAACGTGAAAAAAATTTTGAAGTAGCCCGTGATCGTCTCTGAGGTTCTGGGATTTTTTTTCGGATTAACGTTTTCCATTTTCTGCATGATGATGAGTAAAAGCTTCCGAATTTTTTCCTGATACAAATTTTTTTTCCAACTGACTGAGTGATGAGTAAAAACTTTCCTCTTGAAGCAAGGATGCTGTAAGAATTTTTCAGGCACCTAAGAATTGAAAATTTCCGTTTTTCGTCCAATATTCTTTCTACATTTTACCTACAAAACAAAGAAAATTACAAATTTTAGCTAGCTTGACAAATTTTTCGTATCTTGTGACATGGGTCACGACTACTATGGTTGTAGCGGGAAAGTTTTACTCTATCATGCAATAAATTGAAAAAAAATTCGGATCCGAAAAATAAAATATCCTAGAATATTAGAACATCATTGGCCATGTCAACATTATTTTTTAACGATCACGCCTACTCGAGAAATATCCCACGTCGCGTCCGACTGTGACAATCCTGGTACAGTATCTACAGTACTCTTACCCGGTAGCATCTTTGATGTTTATTTTCTTCTGTAGCGGGTCCTGTGTGCACTTTTTATTTGATTTATCAGATCAGCTGTATGTATGTGTATTCGCATAATTAGGTTTAAGTTTCGTAGAGTGCGTATAGGTCGTTTTCTGCTCCTCACGTGATTCGCTCGCACCTCAGAAGTTCTTCCCCATATGTACATGAGGAAGCTCATCAGTTCTTTGATGTGTTTCGTTTTGTGGAATTTTCGTAATGCGAAACCCGATTTTCTTGGAGGTTACATGTTGAATATAGTAATTCTTTCGAGATACTCACTTGAAGACGGTGATGAACCGTGGAAACTTTGTTTCCTAATTTTTTAATTCATAAATTGATTTAGTGTTGAATTTGTGTAATCCTCAAAAGTTTGTACTCTCAACTTTCTGAATTTTACTCATTTTGAAGACAAGGAGAGGCAAAATTGTGCCGTTGTATAATTTTCCTTGATTTAAAAAAAATTCACAAATTTTAGCCCGAAACTTCCCAAAATTTGAGCGTTATTTAGCGAATAAATTTCGTTTAGTGGAACAATTTCGTTGTGTGGGTCTCCTGTTATGTGATGACTTACTGTAGAGTACTGTACTAGTAATATTCCTGCGATGAGTGAGAAACCCCCCTGTTACTGTAGTGTAGATAGTTCTCGTTTTACTTCAAAGTACAATATTCGCCTTGTAGTTAACCTGGAACTACAAATTACTGTATTTTCTCCGGTACGAACTCGTGGAGTGGAGTGCTTCCTTGTTTTAGGGAATCGATTTTTTGTTTGAATCGTGAAAGTGAGCACAAAGGAAGATCTCGACTGAGCTGAAATTTTTGCCGTTCAAATTAAAAATATGTTCGGCATTGTTTGCTATTGCACGCAGTTGTTAGCCTTCAATTAGACTCGATGTCTATCGTTACTTTGGTGGAAAATTCGAAAGTTCCCACGACTTGACAAATTTCAATTGTATTTAAAATCTCCAGCGCGCTGCTCAGAATTGAACGCAATCCCGTGGTGCTTCTATGCGGAAAAAGTCTTTGCTGCGTGACTTAAAGTATGAACTCTAATCCCGTTTGAAAATAGCCATTTCGATCGGAGAAAAAATCGCATACTGAGCTTGAGCATGTTCAAATTATGCCACGAGGAATTTATACTTGCTGGAGATGTTCATGACAGATCGAAATTATTTCGAAGATTTGTGCGACAATTTTTAAAACTCTGCGGGGATATTCTTGTCGTGCCCATGAAATCGAGTTCTCGTTGTGGATTATTGTCTAATTTTCGGTTTTGGTGTTACTTTCTGATGATTGATCATTAGTTCCGAATGGGCACTTGTGTAAACAACTAGTGAATGTAGGCAGGAAGCTTGCTGGGAAGTATGCAGTGTATGCTTGTAAAGTTTTAGATCAGTGACGCGTAGTCCTAATAGTGCTTGCTCGTTAGATCATGATTTTCTTGAAGGAATTTTCGGCTGCGCTTTTGTCTAATCATTCATGGAATTTTCCAGGGGGTTTCAACTCGTAACGTCCGAGAAGGTGTAGTCGAAATCGGCCGACTGGGGAAATCCTTTTCCACGTCTCTACTTCAACCTGAAATGCAAGGCATACCGTCTTTATTGGAAATAACGCAACAGGACTGCGATGTGAACGCACCTTTATCAAATACAAACGGATTGTTGCAAGGGAGCGATTTACTTCATGCTCTGGAAATGAGCGATTTTACGGATTAACGTTGCGGAGTGCAGTGTTCATACTGTATATGCCAGGAGTTCGTTTTTATTTTTTTTCGCACGGTTTTACGGACTAGCTGAGGCAGGATTTGAGCCACTGCTTCCAATAAATTGTGATAAGAGTCAGGAATGACTTCGTTGGAGTGGTTTTGAAAGCGTTGGATACGACAGAGAATGCGTGTGTGCTGCGTGGCTACTTAGTCCTGTTGAATTTTCAGTTTTTTTTTTTTTCGTTTAGGAGGCTCGTTGGTAAGAAGCATGGACTGAAATCTTGTCCCCTGGGGCCTTAAATCGAATTGTCCTCTTTGGCGCTTCGATCCTTGAGTAAGCTCGTGTTCGGAGAGCTGCGTCTTTCGTGAAGCGTTTAAGCAATGATAGATTTTGTTATTGTTTTGAAACCTTTCGAGACCTTGAGGTTGCTCCTTCTTCTTCGAAAGCTTGTACAATCCCGGAACCTGAAACTGCCTGAAGATTTTTCGTTGTTGTTAGGGTTGTTCCCTCGTTCCAGGAATTTCAATCCCTGCAAGCTGATCTTAAATGACAAAGCGAATGATGGTGGGATTGCACTGCCCACCCGGGATAGCTGCGGGTTGCTTGTGCTACGTGAGCCGTGATGGAGCGTGTGATGTGTTACCGCGTTTCCATGTCTGCGCCGAAATAGTCGAGTTCGTCCCGTCAAATTGCGGTGTGCATCGGTTTCGTGTGTCAAATGTCTAGGAAAATGTGAGTGTGATAAAGCGCGGTTGTCTCCGTCTGCTATGAAACAGCATCAAAAGACAAATTAACCGGATTTGTTCCCCAAAGTTTTCTGTGGTTAGCGGTCGTTGTGCCTGACTGCCGCTTTGGATTTGCCTTCTACTAAAATTCCCGATTGTCGGGGGAGGTTTTTTTTAAGATCCTTTGTTTTGTGGTAATCCGGGGGTAATGCAATGAGAGCCCGGAGTTCCACGAAGGGTTTTCCGAGATTGACAGTTTCATGAAGGCGTCCAGACCTCTAGTACAAACATTTCAAGTGTTTTGCCTGAAAGGTGCCGGACGTGGAGCATTCTCCTTGGTCTACGTTCTCTGTGAGAATGTTCAATTTTTCAAGCAGATGTTATATGATGGGGGTCTTGGAAGAGCTTGCTTGGTTTTACATGAATCTGTGTTTCATGTAAGATGCGTTTTATTGATGCAGTTTGATAGTCGACGTCATGTTTGGATCGGCGTAGAAGGGATGAGTGCACACCGAGCCAACATTACATGCGGTCAGTATCATTCCTGAAGCTGCTGGGATGTTGTACTCGGTGGAGTTCCGATGCTTCGACTAGTGGAAACCTGGGGAGTGCTTAGATATATAGAACAGATGTAGTCGCTGATGCATTATTTTTCTGGTGTTGTTGTCCTGTCAGAGGTTTATGAGTGCAAAAAAAAGGAAGAGGAAAATTCGACGCTGTGAGGGGTTGACTTGAGGTAGCTGCTGGGCGCGCACTTCTTTTTATCCGTAGAACTAACTGTCTGCCAGCTCCGTTTTGGTGGAAGAATTTCCCGATGTACTCATTTTTCTTCAGTAATGACATTCTATGTGGCGTTCAATCTCTCTTTCACTATTACTTTTTTCTCAGCTGAAATATTTCGGGTTTTTTTTTGGGAAATACGATGCTATGAGTCAAGAGGTTCGTGGGAAACTGAAATGAAAGCATTATCGGCCCTAAATTGTTGCAATTTTATTCCGGATCCGATTCTTTCAGCGCGATGCATTCTCTTTTTTTTTTTTTGTGACCCGATTCCTTAATATACAGTGGTAAGAGTCATATACGCGCAGCAAAGGGACAATTGAACTGCGAGACGACTTCGTGTTCAACTTCGTCTGAACTTGTTTCTCTAGCCTATTCTGATCTCGCTCACGATAATAAAGAAGTCACACAGCCCAAACGTACGTTAACAACTGATAAAGGATTGTATGAAGCTGAACGCATGAAAAGCACAAGAGAGATTCGACCTCTTGCTGATGGTGATACAGTACCTCTCGTTTACCTTTGATTTCGTGTTGAATTCACACATGTATACCTAATTGCAGTGTAAGCGTTTTCGAGCTTTGGACAAGTTTTAATGATTTATTTTTGCCCTAGCATCTCATGTTATTGGTTGAAACATTACCAACCAATTTTTTTTTGCTTCCATGCCAACTCTAATTAATGTTGCATAGCCGCCACCTAGTGCAACAGAAGGTAGTGCAGTAGTTCCACCAAACGCTGACGACTGATGCTATGGGATCGAAGTCATGTATATGAGCATTAATTTGTTAATACTCAAATATTTGATTTGCTCATACTCCTACTTAATTGAGCCTATTAAGAAAGTAGTCCTAGTCCTACTCACATAAGAGTACTAATTCAAATTGTGATATTCCCTAGACCTATTTTGTAGTAAAGAATTCGTATTGTTCTTACCCTCCATCATACTGAGGAACATTATTTTTAAGTGCCTTCTTTATAAGAAGCACAGTTTCATTTTGATTAATTCATCAATATCATGAGTGTACTGAACTATCGAACTTCAGGGTGGTAAAAGAATTTTCACCAAAATGTACGCTTTTTGCCTGTATCAAGAACTCAGAACACTTCCATTTCAGAAAATCCAGGGCAAAATTTGGGTGCCCTTCAGAATACAGCTGAGCCAAAAGCTTTGTGCTGTGGAAATTTATCCCCTGAGGAAGGATGTACAGTGAATCGCCCCTCAATGATGCCTGAATTGAGCATAAAAGTATTGTGTCACCTCCAGAAGTCTTCACTACATATTATCTAAAAGGTAATGGATAATGGCCATGAAATTTCCTCTCTGTACCCTTCTCCAAATAATATGTGAAATGCCTTTGATTCACCCAATAAAAATAAAAGGATGACAACTATATAGCAGGCAAGGCCCAAGTAAAAATGTTACAATAAAGAGCAAACATATAGTAAGAGTGTTGCGGTCAAACGTTTGGTATGATATTGATAAAGTACCAGAGGTCAAATGGTCAGGCGGATACACTCTTATTTTATTGTCAGTAGGTGGTTTGTTACGAGGCAGTAATACACAGTAGTACGGACAAGGGTTTTCACACAAGACACAAAGTATACAAGAAACAGGAGATGTTCCTTCTGTCAGAGTTTTGGTTAGAATTATGTGGTCTGCTCAGTCCTTGCTCTCTGCAGGATTGACCTTGCAGTCCTGAGTCATCTTTGTCCCATTGTTGTTTTGTATCCTGGTTTCCTGTGAGTCAGTGCGTGTCCTGTTATCCTGTTGTTCTGTGCTTGGGTTTGTCTAGGGGAGATGGAAGAGCCAGATAATAAACTTAATGGCATAATCAGAGGCGGCCCTAGGGTTTGCGGGGCCTGGGGCAGACATGTCAAATGCGGGGCCCCTTAGAAATGCTCCCCTGCCAATTCTCAAACAGCATTTGAACAATGAAAAATAAGATTCAAATTAAAGTAANCAGAAAGTTATTACTGCAGGATAATTTAACTAGCAAGGGACTATCTTTAGAGCCAAAAACTTTCCATGGAGGGGAATTGAAAAGGAATTGTTCTTGTGGGGTTTGCCAGGGATGCACTGGAAATGCAATTGCAAAAGATAATTAATATCAATGAAGTTCAGGCTCTTTGCAAGGTCCAGCAACAACATTGTTCTATCTGTAATAGAGAAATCAGCATATTTACCCTGAAGTCATGATGAATGAATGTGAATTTCATTGTAATCTTGATCATCATATTTTTAGAAATTTAGATTGCAAATTAGACCCTCATTGCATAAAATAAATGGGAAAGTTTAAAATTAATAGTGGCCATAATTTAATGGTGATTCAAAATTCAAGATGAATTGTTTGTATTTGAAATTCCTTTGATAAGAACTCAAGAAGACCTTATAAAATGTAAAAATGCATCAATCTTCAACAGAAATTTCACTGAAGATTGAAAAATGTATATGCAGTAGGAAAGCTCCTATGCCAATATTCTTCTGAATCTGTTGTCTCGTCTACTTATAGACCAGATTACTTAATGGCATTTGTCAGCAAACTTTGTAAAAGAGGTAGGAATAAACTAGTCCATTTGGAAGGGGGCCCCACTCCTTCCAGTTTCGTTGCAGGTGGAAAAAATTTTGAGGGGGACAGCCAAATTTTAGAGCCACAGTACAGAGGGGCCCTCCTCAAGTGCGGGGCCCCCTCAAGCGCGGGGCCTGGGGCGGCCGCCCCTCTCGCCCCACCCTAAGGCCGCCACTGGGCATAATGGTGTTATTTGGTGTTGTCATGCGCGTGTGTCTCTTACTGTATTCAAGTCTGAACACATGCAGTTTTTAAGGCCAAGCATTGGTGCTGGTACTGTAAGGTACGAGTATACAGTATGTTGCGCATACAACTGGGGCATCATCCGTAAGAGTGCTGATGTTGTTCCATCAGGTGTTATCGTAGGATGCTGTACTTGTACAGTACAGTACTGCTGGTTGAATGGCCGTGAGTTTAGTAAGGCCTCTGCCTCACCCAGAAGAGCAACACCTGGAGAAAAGAGCATGCAATGGTGCTCAGTTCACCCACGCAGGAAGGCAAGGGTTCTCTCAAGATCTGGAGGAGCATCAGAGGGGGAAGCTGGAGGAGGGGAAGACAGTCACTTTATTCTTAACTCTTGACCAGACAGGAACTCTAGTGTTACTTGAATCTTTTGACTAAGTGTGTTCTTGTGAAGAGCTGTTGAGAAATAGATGTCATGCTTGTGAAATGTTAGGAGTGGAGTACCCTCACTTCTTCACAAACCTCACTGTTTAATAGCCAGTTAACCACCATACATGACCAACAGTTGACACCGGTGTGGGCAGCACAGCGTACTCCCCCAGAAGCGTACTCCAGGAGTACACCCTGTCTAGGCAGGATGCACTCCAGGAGTGTCGCGAAATTTATTAGAATCGGAGGATGAGTTTGGCTGGCGCCAAACTCATCCTCCCGTTAATCTCGTGGGAACCCAAGGTCGCCGAAACTCTCAGCCTTCTCCTCAAGG